CCCCCCGCCCGGCCCCCCCTCACCCCGGCCCCCCTGCGCCAGGAGAGCGGGAGCCGGCGCCATGAGGCTCTACAGCCTGAGCGTCCTCTACAAGGGAGACCCCAAAGTGCATTTACTGAAGGCCGCCTACGACGTGTCCACTTTCAACTTCTTCCAGCGCTCCAGGTGGGTGCCCGGGGCGCCCGAACCCCCCGAGGGAGACTGGGGGCGGGGGAATCTCCCGTGTGCTGCGAGGCCGGCACGTGGCTCGGGCAGGGCCTCGGGGAGGGGGGGTAGGAGCTTTTGGGGGCTTTTCTTCCCTGGTTGGTGGCACCGGGGATGCAGTGGCAGTGGTGACAGGCTTCTCCGAAGGGATAAACCCACCGGAGACGCTCCCCTGGGGAGCCGTGAGCCTGCACAGTGCTGCAAAATCCACTTGGAGCCATCTTTCAGCCTCGGGAGCGGAGCGAAACCTCGTTTTCCCTACGAGCCGCCCAGGGCCAGCAGCAGGAGGTCAGGTTTCACCTGGTAACTCATCGGCTGTAGCCAAGCGACAAAATCTGGGCGCAGGGAAACACCCCGAGCGCTCGGGTCAGCTGCTCGCCCTCCAGCGAGTGCCTGAGCCTGGTAGTCACGGCGGCTGCTGGGTGCGAGAGGCGAGTGGGAGGAGGCTCCGCTCTGTGTCAGACAAACGAGGCTCGCCTGACACCTCCGCGCTCTTTTTATTTAGGTGTTTGGTCTAATCTTAAACTTTTCCCAGCCCACAAACCTCCGCTCGGGTTATTCTGACAGCTTCGGGTGAGCCGGTTTAGGCCTGAACGCCGATCCGGGCGTCCCGCTGCCCGCTGCGTGCACGCAGAGAGGTCACGGAGCTCTCTCAGCGGTCGCCCTTGAGCTTGCAGCTGAGGGGAGCTCCTGAAAGCCTCTAAAAGCTGTAAAATAAAGCAGGTGCCTGTTGGGAAATGCTCTTTTCCCGGCCCCCGGCTCCAGATGATAAGGGCTTTAGGAAATACTCACCTATAGGACTCAAATTTTCCATGTCCTGTCCCTGCCAAGATTTTATGGAGCCTCAAGCACATTTGGTTCTGCAATTCCAGTGATAAAGCAAAAATACTGAAGTAAGGTTGTCTTAAAAAATACTTTCTTAGCCAAATATGCAAGAGGGATAAAGGAGCTGTGCCAGTGCTGCCAACGCAGGCGCTCGAAGATGGATTGCGGCGAGTGAAGTAATCTCTTAAAAATCCAAATCGCTTCGTAGTCGCAGCTCCCAGTTTGCCAAATCCTGAGAAAATTCCCTGCGTGGTTTTGCCGTCGGCTACAGCTGAAAAGAGCCGCTTGCCCAGCAGCTGGCTAGTTCTTTGCTCAAAAAAAAGTCTTGGCTTTTTGGGAACAGCGATGCCGTGTGTGGAGGGTGAGGGGGTGTCTGTGCTCGTCAGTCTCGCAGCTTTTCTCTGGTGGCTAATCCTTGCCCTGGGCTGGTTGCCTGGTTGTGCTTGGAGGGGCTGCTAGCGCCTCGGTGCCTGTGAGAGCGCAGCCTCGGTGTGATATTTAAGGTGCGATTAACTGAAGTTTGGGTTAAAAACGCTGCCCGTACCTTTTTTTTGAGGCTGTGGAGTTACCAGAGAGTTGGGTTTGGGGTTCGGGTCTGGGGTGAACGTGGCTGGGGCTCCTGGGAGCCGTCGGAGCCCGCGGGCAGGAGGACGGGGCTGGCCTGGCTGTGCCAGCGCGGGCCGTCAGCCGTCCAACGTCTGCCGAAGAGTTTAGGAGGGTCAGGAAGGGGGCGTGAGGGAATGAAGTCTTCGGTGGCCGATTCCTCCGGGAATACTCTTAAATCCTGGAACTGCTGCGGCTGCCAGCAGATCCCCCAGGCCAGGAGGAACGTGTTGGTCCTCTGTTTCTGCTGAAGTCTGATGTTAAGAAATCTTTGGGCCAGTCTTTTCTCTGCAGTGCCTGGAAACCCGTCAGTTCGGAGTCTCAGTGGAGCCGGCGTCCGATGGCGTGGTGTCCGGGCTGGGGGAAATGCAAAACCCCTAAGGAATACGTAAAGTGCGAGAGGCAAATCCCCGATCTGGAGCTGCTTCCAGCAGTGGAAGGCAGCGGGGGAGACCGCGGTCTCTGCCGCGCCGGTGTCCGTGTTCGTTGACATTGCCTCGGCGCCGCGTCACGTGAAGCTCCCGTGTTGGTGTGGGGGGTGTTTGAGCAAACTCGGTAATCTGAGCTCCGACAGGTTTCCCTTCCTGGGACTTTCCAGGTGAAGTGGGGAATTTGTCAGCGTTAATCCCGGTGTGCGTTGGGAACGGATCGATTTTGCGCTTGCTTGTGACTTTGGCCTCTTTTCTTTTACCGTGGGGCGAAGGAGAGGGTTTACGTCAGGAGCCTGGCGGCCCTTGGCAGGGCGCGCGGCTGGGCTCGGGAATGTTATCCAGACTTAGCGCGAGCCCGACTTAAGGATGGTCCTCGACTTTGATCAAACTGGTGGGTAGGTGAGGTGTGTTTGCGGGTCGAGCAGCCTCCCCGGCTCGCTGGCGCCTTGCGTGGGATTGGGGTCAGGGCCCCGAGCACGGGATAAAAGCTCAGGCGAGGGAAGGGGCCGGAGGCCCCTGCAGCCCCTCGCTGCGTGTGAGCAGGGCGCAGCCGCCCGCCAGGCTTCAGCCGGGCAGGTCCGTGGTTCGGCGGAGGTTTACTGTCTGCTAAATCACCAAAAAGCGAGTTCAGCCCAAGGACGCGAGTCCCTCGCCGCGGCCGGGGAGGGGTGGGCGCTCCCCTGGCCTGGCGAAGCTGGAGGTGTTTGGGTGGTGGCCGCAGCTCTGCGTAGGTGCAGGCTCCAGCCTCTTTCGGTCCGGCCAAAACGCCAGGGCCCTGTGGGACAGGTGATCCCCGCCATCGCTGCTGCGCCAGCACGCCCGTGGCTCTCCAGGCCGCACGCAGCCCCAGGTCCCCTCGCAGACTCGAGCGCCGACGCTTTGTGTTTGCAGCGTGCAAGAATTCATGACCTTCACGAGCCAGCTGATCGTGGAGCGCTCGGAGCTGGGCAGCAGAGCCTCCGTCAAAGAGCAAGGTAAGAGGATAACCCGGGGTCAGCGCGCAGCCGCACCTGCTTCGTTCCTTGTCCGTTTGTGATAAAAAACGAGACCTCAAAGCAGTGAAAGGTCGAGCTTTGTTACGCTCCTGGCCGCCCTTGGGACACCTGGAGCTGTGGGGCTGCGCGCCCGCCGCTTGCTGGGTTTGTCCCATCCCATGATCTCTGGCCTCTCCTCGCGCCTCCCCGCCCTGCTCCGCGTCCCTCCTGCCCCCTGAGACGCGCAGGGTGCGGCCTGGAGTTGGCCGCTGCAGCCTCTTTAATGACACTCCAGGCTTGTGACAAGTTGTTATTTATTAAAATCAGGCTGAGCGCTTCCCCCTCTGGTTTTTGGTTGACGCTGGCAGTACCTGCTGCCCTGGAAAGGCAGCGTCGTGTCCCCACCACGCGGCCAGGCTGCGGTAACCTGCTGCAACACAATTTGGGGCTGGTTTTGATCCTCCCTTGAGCCCTTCCCGCTCTCCTAATGAAATCACGTGAAGCGCGGTCGCTGAATGAAACCTTCCAGTGCAATTCGTGGGTTGTGGAAGAGCCGCTGGGGCCGGGCGGGAGGCGGCGGGCGCTGGGGGAGGCTCTAGACCTTCCCGCTGCCTCTCTGACGTGAACTCTCTGCCCAGACTACCTCTGCCACGTGTACGTCCGGAACGACGGGCTGGCCGGCGTGGTGATCGCAGATAACGAGTATCCGCAGCGGGTTTGCTTCACCTTGCTGGACAAGGTGAGCGCGCGGGCTGGGAGCAGCTCCGAGGGCGAGAGTCTGCGGTGGGGCTGCTCCGGGGAGCAAATCCAGATCTTGTGCTCGTGCTGCGATGAGGAAATGGCCCTGTGCTCGTTAGCTGGGGGACGTCAGAGCTGAGCCGAGCAGGACCCGACCGGCCCAAAGACTTCCCGGCCGTGCAGTGGCTTGGCTTTGCCCGCTAGGACTTAGTCCCGGCTCCGCTCGGCTGCTAGCCCAGGCCTTGGCCTCACAACCACCCCGTCCTCCCTGCCTGGCTTGGGTTTTATGCGGCAAAACTGGGTGTCACCACGCTCCTGGCGTTGCCAAAATCCGGTGATGATGTGTCTGGCCACCCTGGCAGGGCACAGGGCTTTGGGGACAGTTGGGGACGGCCGCCCCTATCTGGCGTGCGTGCTGCTCTGTCCGTGTTTGATGAGGAAGTTGGTTTCTGCCTCTTCCCTCGGTTCGTTCAGAAGGGAACAAGGAGGATGAGGAGGAAGATCCCTTCTGGCCAGGCAGTAACCGCCCGCTTCCTTGCGTCGCAGGTGCTGGATGAATTCTCCAGGCAGGTCAGCAAAGTAGACTGGCCTTCGGGATCCCCGGCGACAATCAGCTACGCGGCCTTGGACGGGTACCTCAGCAAATACCAGGTACGGCCCCCCGGGTCCTGCACGGAGGCCGGGAAACGCTCCCCCCGGCCCCAGCTCTGGAGGTGATGCCTCAGCGTGTGCTGGGACACCGGTGCTGCGGGGCCGTGGCCCGGGGAACACCGGCGTCCCTGCGGCGGTGGTGCTGACGCCGTGTTGCTTCTCTCCAAGAACCCCCGCGATGCCGACCCGATGACCAGAGTGCAGGCGGAGCTGGACGAGACCAAAATCATCCTGGTGAGGAGGACGCTGGGCCCGCGGCTGGGACGCTCCGGCTGGCACAACCGCTCGGGGCCATGGGGACGTCCTTCGGAGGGCTCGGGTGCAGCGTGGCCCTCCAGGGGCCGTCCGGCCCCCTCCATTCCCCAGGGTCATTCCCGGTGCTGCCGGAGCTGCTTCTCCCCTTCCCTCCGGGCTCCTCAGGGGCACTGGCTCCCCTCCACTTCCCTCCTCCAAGCCACGGTCCCTCCCCTGCGCAGCGTTACATCCTCGCTTGTCGTCTGCTTTAAGTGACCCGCGTGTGCGGCCGCCTGCACCGAGGGCTCCTCTCCTCCCGCTCGCTGCCACCTTCCCGTCTTTGCTGGGGCTGGGATTGCTCCCTCCCTCGCCGCGGGGGAAGGGCAGAGGCTCGTCCCCTCCTGTGCGGATGGGGACGTGGTGGCACCTCCATCTTCTGCTCGGGGTCTGGGAGGGCCCAGGGTGCCAGCGCCGGGGCTCAGCACCGGTTTCTGTCGGCAGCACAACACCATGGAGTCGCTGTTGGAGCGAGGGGAGAAGCTGGACGACTTGGTTTCCAAATCGGAGGTGCTCGGGGCACAGTCCAAAGCCTTCTACAAAACTGTGAGTGCAGATTTGCATCCCAGGGGAGGGTCGCCCCCTCCCCAGGGAGCCAGGGAAGGGCAGAATAAACCCCCAGGGCGGTGGATGCGGGTGCCGGGCAAGGATCGCCGTCCGCCGGCGCAGCTGCTTTGGACCCGGAGGGAGCTCGGTTGCCCAAACCCCCGCTGCGGAGCTCCTCAGCCCCTCGCCCGGGCCGTTCCTTGCCCTGCGGGGTGGAGGCTGGCGCCGATCCTGGCCACGGCGGCTCCCGGCACGGGCTCTGGCTAAGGGGGTGGCTGAGGGGGGCAGATCTGTGCCACGAGCCTTCGGCGTGGGGCCACAGGGCCTTTGCGTTCGTGGCGAGCTTCGGGGAGCTGCAGCAAGCGTCACTGCCGGTTTTCCTTCTCTTCCCAGGCTCGAAAGCAGAACTCGTGCTGTGAAATCATGTGACGCGGAGCCCGGGGTCTTCTGCTCCGGACCACCAGGCCCTCGCTCCCCTTCGGACCTCACCGCACCCAGGACAGCAAGCAGAAGCCCAGGGTGGGCTCCCAGGTCTGGGCTGCGCTGCGGCGGCCGGGGCCGGGCGTCCTCGGCGCCGCGCGTTTACATGACTTTTTTTCGTCTCGAGGGAATGGCGAGGCCGGTGTTGGGCTGGCGCCCCGCGGGGTGGGGGGAGCGCCGGAGACCCGCTGCCCTCGCTTTTCCCGAGGGCGGCTTGGACCACGGGGCGCCCGGCCGCGCGCCTGCCCCTGCCTTTACACCTGTAACACTAGCCAGCGCCTCGGCCTCCCGGGCGGCCGGGGAGAGAGGAGCCGGGGCTGCCCGGGGGAGCTGGGGGGGTCTTTGGGGTGAGGGTTCTAAGAGGGAGCCCGGGGGCGTGGGAGAGGGGTGGGAAGGGAAGAAGAGGCGTTTTCCTCTGCTGGGGGAGGCTCGCTGCTGCGTTATCACCCGTTGCCTCCTCAGGAGCTTTTCCCAGTGCCGGTGAGCGGGAAGCTGTGGCGCCCGTCCCCGGGGAGGGGACAGGGCCGAGGGGGTGCCGGGGAGGGGGTCGCCTCTGGGCCCCTTCCCTCGCTTCGGTGGTGGCGTGGGGAAGAGCCGAGCTGGGACGGGGGGCCCCGGGCAGCCCCCGGCCCCCGGTGCCCCTGGCTGGCTCGGGGGCTCTGTCCCCCACTGACGTGCCTGAGCCCCCCACGTAGGCAGCGCGGGGCCGGCTGGAAGCCAGCGCCGGTGCTCAGGGCCGGGGGGCGGCCGGGGGGGGTCGCCCGGGGTCCCC